CCTCACCAAGACTCAGAGTTCCTGGTTAGCTCTTCTATTTGCCTCATTCTTAAAAATAAAAATAGATGGCCAAGGCTTCCCTATCACCCGAGAAAGATCTGCAGCCATCTTCTCTTCTTAGGAACAGCATTCAATGGCAATTTGAATTTGGGACCATTTCTATATAAATGATTTTTACAGGGACTCTACCACCATGTCTCTATTTGTTGTAATAATGCAAACTATCTTTCTCAAAAGGGCATATAGGTACTGGTGTAACTTTTGTGTGTGTGTGAACAGTACTTCACAGTCAAACTATTTTCTCCTCCTCCTCCTCCTCCTCCTTCTTTTTCTTCTTCTTCTTCAGAAACCTCAGAAATAGCATTAAATGGACAGTGGGTGTCAAGAAGACCCCAGGACTATAAAGAGGAATTTAATCAAGAGTGTCTCTTTAGAACAATTTCCACACCATCCCCTTGATTTCCTTAAAGACTGTGATAAGAAGGACAGAAAGTTTTTTGAAAGATTTGAAGGCCAAATAAGGGTGAGTGACTGTTGACTGGGGTTTGTTTGTAATAATAGAGTTTGTTTTAACATGTCAATGATAATAAGACAGGTCTAACTGTTCAAAAACAGTTGTCGTGTTGCTTTTTCGTTTTTAATTTTAGAAACTCTCTATTTAGAATTATATACATTGTAAAACATAAGACCTTTGTGTAAATTTGATGGAGATTAGGAAAATCTATGGACTGCAGCAAGTCCCAGCTTCTCTCTGCTAATTATTCCAAAAAGTGTTATTTTTATTTTCATGTACTTTCTAAGGCATGTTATTTTTTCTCCTCAAGTCAGCAGAATAGTATTATTATGTTCTTTGTCCTTTATGTTGTGGTTCTCTCAGAGGCAATATCAATTCTGTTATTTTTTTACTCAAAAATAATGAATAAGTAAATTGAATTGATAAATTAATTTTTGTAATTCTAAATGTCTAAATTTATTTCTAAGGTCAATATAATGACTTTGTTTTTTAAGAGTGTACTCCTCAGGTCCTAACAGGTAACTTTAATTAATCCAGAGGTTATACCACCACCACCACCACCCCCTCAGTCTTAGGGGCATAGGTGGCTTGCTAGAGTCCGACCTGCTGGAGCAGCTTTAATTTGGCTTCAGCATTTGGACACAGGAAGCCAATTCCATATTTCTGGCCTGTTTTCATTCCCGGAAGGTCTCTGACCTAGGAGTTCTTTTTCTCTTTGTTCATTGGGGGTGGAATCATTTCAGCATTTACCTTACTCCATTCCCTGGAACAGTCAGGTCTCCCTCCTCTCCAACCTTGTTGCCTTTCCACAGTAACCCTTGCAACAGTATAACAACCATTGTTCTAAAACTTGCCCTCACCTACACTGAATGTAGTTAACAGAATCCACTAGACTCAAGTGATTGCCTTGCACAGACAGTTCCTTATCTCCAAAAAGGCTGCCTTTTTCCGTATGCTTTGCAACAATATAGGCACTATTTTTTTTTCTAGAACATTCCTTCACCTACAGTGAATATAGTTTAAAGGACTGGCTATAAAGTGTTCAGATTCAATTGATTGGATTTCCTAACAGCCAGGAAGGAAACATAAGAACCTCGCTTGCCTTATTGTTTGTTGCCCCAGCCCTGAGATATATAATTTTTTATTCAAATATATTTATATTTATTTTATATATTTATATGTAGAAATATATATATAATATATAAAATATAGATATACAGAGAAATATAGATATATAGATACATTTAGATATATAGAGAGCAATACATAGACTTATTTATTTTTTAATAAAGGAAAGTGCCATTTCACACACACTGGAGTTCTGCACAGTAAAATATATATGTACTCCTTACACAATATGTGCTTCAGGCATTCTGGACTCCCAAGGTTGAACTCCCAACCTACCAAAGAATGGCTCTAACCTCTTGCTAGATGTCCTTGCCTTCGTTTGCCTGTTTCCTCCTCTCCACAAGTCAACATCTCATCCTGCTCGACCTACCACCAGGCTAGAGCCACTATAGCCAGTACTGCCAAACCTGCCCAGCCACCACGTGCCAAGAACCCCACAGAGTACCGCTTTCTTGGGCTGGTTGGCACTCGTATTCCAAACCGGTTGGCCTGCAGCAGAGCCAGCAGCCTTTGAATCCAACTTCTGTCGCCGCTGAGAAGCACCCAGGGACCAGGATCCACGCTCCAACATTTCTGGGGAGAAGAACAAAGGCCCCAAGAACATCCATAGAGGCTTTACCAAGGCTTCCTGGGCACAGAACACACCAGAAAGTGGGTGGGTCCCCAAACTTCTTAAAAATTACTCAGCATCCATTCACTGCTGTCTACTGGCCAATCCCAGACCTCAGTTTGTTTATCTTTTCAAAAGTTTAGCAAGTATTTACTGAAAGCCACTCTCTGGGCTAAGTAAATTATTAGAAAGAGTGATAACCAAGAGGCAAGATGGCAGCAATCAAGAAACTGACTGGCTGTGTGTATACAAGGGGAATGAGGAGCAAAACAGAAAATAATCCATCAGTGCAGATTCAGATTAAGAGACACATGCTTCCAAAATGATAAAAATAGGCAACATGACAGAAGGACATGGCTACTTTTAGAAAAGTCAGAAGAAACATTGAGGCAAAGACCTTAAGAAAAATAGCCCAGCCATGGAAAATCTAGAGAAAAGG